ATCCCTGCCAAATTGGGACAGATATTCCACTTAAAATTCCAAGTTTCCTTCTTGCTAGCTGTGTGATACCTTTTGCAATGTCGCACTGTTACCTTCATTTAATTTTTGCTTCCTTACCTCACTTTACATCTGGTAATGACATTCTGTAGCTCCTTCCCAATGGATCTGGTTAGATCCCCACATCCCTGCCATTGTCCTGGGTGCAAATTCATCGCTTGTTGATAAATGGTGGAATTAAGTGACAACGATGGGCATACAAATGAGCCATTGCAGATTAATCAGCACAAAAAGAGCATGCCTGTTGCCGAAACCCAACTGAAACACAACATTTGGAAGAGAGACAGTTAAAAGATTCTGGTCTGAGTAACAGCATGACAAATGATAGAAGCAATGCAGGCTTGCATTTGAGAGCCAGATCGTTGTAACACAGCAAACTACACTAAGGACAAGTTTTATCAGAAGCAATTTGCTAGTTGGGTCCTTTCTTTACAGATGCTGTCTGTGCAGAAATAATTGAGGGGTCCTTGTGGTAGTGTGGCATAATGGTCTGAGTGTTCAATTGTGATTCTGGAGACCTGTGTTCAATTCCCGGCCTAACCATAAAACCCAGTGGGTGACCTTGGGCAAGTCACATGCTCTCAGCCTCAGCGGAAGGCAATGGCAAACCTCCTCTGAACAAATCTTGCTAAGGAAACCCCTCCAAACCTCAAATAGAGGATATCCCATATAATAAGGGACACTTGCCAATCCTGTAAGACAAGCCTTCCAGAGCTTAAATAAGGGATGTACTTTATATTAAGGGATACTGGAAACCTTAATTACTTTGCTGATATGCCGATCATATTTTCTTTTCTAAAAGTGATTAGATTTCCATTGAGCCATTTAGGGTTTGTTTTTGACAATCTGAATGTGAGCTTTCCTTCTCCTAGAGCCACTCTTGTAAAATAGTCAGAACAGCCTCCATCTCTTCTCCTGCCAGCCTTCTGAATTCAGATAACCATCCCTACTTTAATAAGAAATACGCTATGGAGTTTTTAAAATACATAATGTGTATGTGCTGACTTATGTATCGGCTGACCTTTTGCACATGGAGTATTTTCTTATGAAATTACCTGTAGACTATTTTGTATTCAGCACAGACAATCAGATTACGTTTAAGAAGAAGAACATATTCTAGATTCTGTTTTATGTGCTGACTTTAATGTAGACTAAGACATGTGGACCTCATCACTATTTTTTTTTTTAGAAACCTTGCCTAATAAAACAGTCCTGGCTTAGCAATAGGTCACTGGGTTTGGAAACCTGATGTTCTCAATTAGTTTTGAAGAATTTGATTGAGACGTGTAAATAAAACATAGCAAATGAAATGGTAAATGAAATTGGCATCTGGTTATTAGATGGTGAATGGAATAAAAAAGCCAGAGTAACCCTTGTAGCCAGTGCAACATAGTGGTTTGAGTGTTGGACTATGACTCTGGAGACCAGGATTTGAATCCCAGCTTGGCCATGGGTACCCACTGGGTGACCTTGGGCAAGTCACACTCTCTCAGCCTCAGGGGAAGAAGGCAATGGCAAACCACCTCTGAACAAATCTTGCCAAGAAAACCCCATGTTAGGGTTGCCATAAGTTGGAAACAACTTGGAGGCACACAACAAACAACAACAAAATTGTAGACTGGGAGGAGGAGAGTAGATCCTTTGTTCCCCAAAATCTCTGCTTTTTCCAACTGGGCTCCTTTTGAGTCACAGAGCAGAGTTTGTGCTACAGGCAAGAAACCCTAGGCTTTGGAGACTGTGGCTGCATCTATACTGCAGAAATAATGGAGTTTGTCACTGCTTTAACTGCTATGGCTCAATGCAGTGGAATTCTGGGCTCTATAGCTTTGTGAGTTATTTATCCTTCTCTATCAGAGAGCTCTGGTGCCTGAATAAACTACACATCCCAGGATTCCATAGCTTGGAGCCATGACAGTTAAAGCGACAGTCAAACTGCATTAATTCTGCAGTGTGACAGCAGCCAAAGTTGGCCTTACTGGAGTTACAATGTGCCTGGAACTCTCCATGGTTCTGAAAACTGATTGTTGAATACTGACTGTCATGAATTTTACTGTCCTTTATTGCTGTTTTGAAAATCTGGCAAAACTAGATGGCCTTGGAGTTTTAATGTAGCCAGTATGTGTCTCCCAAGGACTGAGGTCTAGTCTGGGCAGGTTTCCACCTCTTTGTCTCACCAGTGAGGTCAATACACCATGTGAAGATGTGGAAGAAGGTCGCCTTAGCACTGGCACCTCAATTTTGGAAATTTAGGAGACTCATTGGTGCCAACGCTGGTGCCATTTAGGCAACAAGTAAAAACATGGCTGTTTGTGAAAGCATTTAATCTTCATGATTTGAAAATATTATGTGTATATATGTATCTATGTGTGTTCAAAAAAGCAAAGCTTGATGTTCCCATTTTATATAAAGATACTATTTTAGTATGTGATTGTATATAATAAGACTTGGGCATCCATGGATTTTGGTATCCATGGTGTGTGTGTGTGTTCTGGAACCAAACCCCAGCAGATACCAAGGATCCACTGTATTAGTTGTGCATTTGTTTGTATGTTAGTTTGTGAAATATAATTAAGGCATAACCCAGCATTCAGTGATCTGCATTATGCAGTCCCAACATAAGATGGTAATCATTTCATTTGGTAACCGGCTTAGTTGCAGCAGAGAGTTATTTGTGAGTTATTTGTGAGTTATTTATCTTTCTCTATCAGAGAGCTCTGGTGCCTGAATAAACTACTGGGCAGTTGTTCCAAAAGGCAGTTTCTGAAGACAATTTAGTCTGCAGCCACAGATCAAAACCTGGGATATACCCTGTGCATATACACACCACGCTGGGTATGTCCTATATTTTCCCTTTTCCTGTGGCAAAGATGTGAAATATGTCAGATCCTTCAGAATGTTAGTTTTATAGTACTTCTCAAGAAGATAAATTTAGGTTATCAACCCGTGAAGCATTGACACACTGAGTAGCTGCCACACACAATTGAAAAGTTGAAAGCTCCATGCCTTGACTGGCAGGGATGAAGCATTGGTTCGGGAGGTTGGGGAATTAAGGCATTGTCCCCTCGATAAAAGTTCTGTTCCAAGTGACACTTCCTTTCAGTCTGCAAATTTCTAGAATTGAAGACTGAGACAGAGAAAATTCATGCCTAGAGAAAATTGTTTACACCTAGCACTCTTGTGTTTCCCATGCTTGCATTTGCATTTGCATTGTAACTTTACCTGTCTCTTTCCTTGGGATGTCTAAAATGCATTTCTAAATGCTCAGCTGAAGAAAGGAGACCTTGCCCTCCTGCATTTCCAGTGAGCTGCTGGAGATCTGGGAGGACCACCTCAGTTCTTATCACTTGGCTGCAAACACCACAATGCCAACTGGCCCCCTCTCCTTCCTTTCCCCCTGTCTAGTAACTGGATGCATGCTTTGGATCTTGAAAATGTTCTTACAGGAGCTGGGAGGGACGTGAAACAGGTCAGTTTTCACTGTATACGTAATGTGGCATTGCAGCCAGCATTTCATCCCAAGTGCAGGAAGGTAATCCACACCCGCCAACTCCCTTTGCTTTGCTGTTTGCAACGGTGACATGTCACATCAGAACACCTCCTCCTTGCGCTCACCTTGGCGCAAAAGGACACACTGCGTCGGCTCTTGTCATGCTGTCGCTTTGGTCCGTTGTGCTGACAGTTGGAAAGTTTTATCCCTAGCAGACGGAGCCCTTCCTAGCTCCTGCTGAAAGGTAACACAACCTGAGCTGCCAATTCCCACACCTGTGACTTTGTGAGAAGGGTGTGGGGTGGCTTTCTGCCTCTAGGAGCCTTGCTGCTCACTTATGTGTTTATTAATTAAAAGGAAATAAAGTTGCTGAAAGAGATCTAATTCACAGAATGACCTTGAATTGGGGGAAATACTCCCAAGGGAGCCATCCCTAATTCTTTTCTAATTTTATTGCTGGTTTAATTTGCTGGTGTTAACTGTAACACTCTCATTTCCCCCCTCATAGCAAGTTTTATTCCCTTTTGTGAATAGTGTCTGCTCTGATAACATACACTTGATTATGGGGATATGTCTGATGGGTAGGATGGGGCAGAATTTTATAAACTTTTATGAACTTAATGATATTCACACATTTCCTGAATCACTATGCAAACCAGAATGCAGTTGCCCTTTGGGATGCTGTTTTCGGAACCAAACTCGTGCAACAAAAAAGGCAGTGCCACATGCATATAGGTCTGTGTATAAAGGGAAAGCATTGTCCAAAAACAGTTGTTTAAGTGAAAACCACTTGCAAACATGTCTATATAGATCCAAAGAGCATACAGCAAAGGAGGGTGCAGCACTCTGGAGCCAATCCGGAAGTAATGTCCGTATCAAATGCCAGGACTTCAAAGGGACCTTAATCCATGACAGCAAGAGATGACGTGAAACCCAGGCTGGCAATTCCTGCAAGGCATCTTAAAATGGGCATTGGAAGGGCCACCACCTCAGTGTGTGTATGCGTTTGTGTGTGTCGTCAGAGAAAGTGGGGGAGTCTTTTTCAAGGTCCAAGATGAGACCCCTTGATTTAAAAAGAAAAGGAGCATCAAATACACTTTTTTGGGGGCTTGGATGCCAGGATCCTTTATTCTTCTCTTTGCCAGTCAGTGTTCAGCAGGAGACTGGAGCTTGGGAGAACAAGTATTTAATTTTCCTGGAGGTATCAAGAACCGATTGGCCACACTAGAGAGAGATTTTTCTGCTGCACTTCCAGCAGTTGTGAAGGCACTGGTTGTAGCTCCTGCCTAACAAGTCAAGGCTCCAGGGATATGGCTATGGGGAAGGGAGGCAGACAAAAGGATGGGATTACCCTTCTGTAATGGGTTGGGCTTCTGCCACCAGGCAGATGGGTTTTAGAGTCCTTGTTAGCATCCAGACCAAAAGCTGTCCAATGGTGTGAGAGTTCAATTGCGTTTGTGACCTTTTTGGATTTGGGAATAGAAACTCGAGCGTGTCCAAAGGAGG